TGTAACAATGATGCTGACAGAAGATAATGCAATGATGATGCCTGCAAAAGATAATGTAACAATGATGCCTACAGGAGATAATGTAACAATGATGCCTACAGAAGATAATGTCACAATGATGCCTACAGGAGATAATGTAACGATGATGACTACAGAAAATAAATGTAACAATGATGCCTACAGGAGATAATGTAACGATGATGCCTACAGAAAATAAATGTAACAATGATGTCTACAGGAGATAATATAACAATGATGCCTAAAAAAAGATACTGTAACAAAGATGTCTAAAGAAGACAATGCAACAATGAAAATTTAACATGAATATCTATGTGGAAAGGAGGATTCTGGCTTTCAAATGTAAATGCTATAGACAAATTTTATGAATTAGTTATTCAGACCTTAAAACTAATAAATATGTTGGAGACAAAATAAACAACTTAGCAGAATATCAGGAGCCTTTCTTGGTAGGGGTGAAATGTTGCAGAGCTAGCTTGATTCAGGCATGTAGTGAGGCATGATTTGATTGCAAAGCTAGCTTGATTCAGGCATGTAGTGAGGCATGATTTGATTGCAAAGCTAGCTTGATTCAGGCATGTAGTGAGGCATGATTTGATTGCAAAGCTAGCTTGATTCAGGAACGTAGTGAGGCATGATTTGATTGCAAAGCTAGCTTGATTCAGGAACGTAGTGAGGCATGATTTGATTGCAAAGCTAGCTTGATTCAGGCACGTAGTGAGGCATGATTTGATTGCAAAGACTGCATTTCAAGGAACAGTGGCGGGTAGTCGAAAAAGAGGAGGGCAAAGAAGAATCTGAAATGACAACTTCAAGAAATGGACAGGACTTAGTTATCATACACTTGTTCAACAGGTGGAAGACAGAGAAAGATGGAGGGTATTGTGTGCTAGTGCTTTGATCGATTCAACTCCACAAACCTACCAGGTTATCTATGTTTTCGTGTTATCTATATGAGATAATGTAACAATGTTTACTGGATGAGATAATTCTAACAACCAAGACTATATGGAATTCAAAAATGTTAATAATGATGTCTGTATGAGAGAATGTTATATTCAATTAGTAGAAGTACCCTGCAGTGGCTGCTGCATCAGAGGACAGAGCACATATGGGAATGCCCAATGTGCAGTGATGTGGATTGTGATAACGTAACATGAGACAATGTCAAAAGTGTGTCTTCTTTCAGGGGATTATCCAACAAGACTGCCTGCTCACCTGGGCGTCCCCATCATATTGGGTTCTTCGCTGCCTTCTGGAGGATACTCGATCAGACATGCTGTCATAGATTTCTTGCTCTTCCATTTCTTCTCCTTCTTCAACTTCTTCTTCTTCTGCTTCTTCTTCTTCACCTGAAACAATGTGAAACAAATGACATTCAGGTATGCTGAGAGAAATTACATGACCAACAAATATATATTCTGCTGTCACTGACTGTGTGCTGAAAGAAATTACAAGACCAGCAAAGAAATATTCTGCTGTCACTGACTGTGTGCTGAAAGAAATTACAAGACCAGCAAAGAAATATTCTGCTGTCACTGACTGTGTGCTGAAAGAAATTACAAGACCAGCAAAGAAATATTCTGCTGTCACTGACTGTGTGCTGAAAGAAATTACAAGACCAGCAAAGAAATATTCTGCTGTCACTGATTGTGTGCTGAAAGAAATTACAAGACCAGCAAAGAAATATTCTGCTGTCACTGACTGTGTGTGTGCTGACCCAGAGAAATTACATGATCAGCAAAGATCTATTCTGCTGTCACTGAATGAGAGGACAAAGCTCTTCCCCTAATTCATCAATTCTCAAGTGTGTGTTTTCCTTGTTCATTCTTCTCTGCCTGCCTCTCAGAAGAAAAGGATCACAAATTAACTGTACTCGAACCCCTCCTGCCAGACACAGTAGGCTGTAACATTGTCAACATCATTCAGTGTTATAGGCTGGCGGGAAAAGTGATCCCACATGGCCGTCTCCCTCCACACAATGACAAGGGCACAAAACAAAACATAAATCCATCATCATCAGGTGCCTTGCCGACTGGCGTGGGCGATCATGCCTCTCCACAATCTGCGATCTCCCGCAGCATGTATCAGTTTATGTGCCGACACACCTCCATGCCATGCAACCAGATTGTCAAGAATCTTCTCTAGCTGTCTTCCTCTATCCCTCCTTAACTTCCACAGATCTTTCCAGTCGTCACAACATGTTCTATTTTCCCCCTTCTCATAACATGGCCGAAAATTTATGACTGTCTCCTTCTGATGTCTGTGATAAGTTGTCTTCGGGCCGCCACCTCTTTCAAAACCTCTTGGTTGCTCTTTTTGGCTGTCCAAGATATTCTAAGCATTCTTCTGTAAAACCACATCTCTGAGGCCTCAAGAAATTGTTTGGCCTGCCTACCGATATAAATCCAAAGCTCCAGCAACGATTCCAGGGACCTTAGAAAGAGCTGAACCCATGACCTTTAGACTGCCAGGTGCACGGCCTGACCATAGAGACCCTTAGCCAAATCAAAGTATCAAGTATTTAGTCCAAGTTAGGACCATCAGACATTGCTGATACATTATGGACAGTTGTAAACTGAGTTATAAAAATTTTCAACAAACAATACAGTTAGACGGCTAAAAACTAGATAACAGCCAGTCAAAAACTAGACAATGCAGTTAGATCGTTATAAACTAGACAAGCCCATGTAAGTTCTAAGGTCCCATTGTGAGGGGGATAAAAAAAAAGAACAGATTCAGGGCCTCCCTAAAAAAGCATGTCATAAGAGACAAATAATGTTGGGTTTCTGCCTATGGTGCATCTGCCTGAGAGGCAAGGAACCAACAGTCTGCATACAAATAAGCCAGATCTGTAAAACGGATGTGCATGCAAAAACTCAAGTTCCGGGACAAGACTGAAATCTCCGAATGGTTGAACCACAAAAACTTTTCACTGAAGTTGACACCTGGTCAACAAGAAACAACCAAAACTTTCCACTGGAGTTGACACCTGGTCAACGAGAAACAACCAGAACTTTTCACTGGAGCCGACACCTGGTCAACGAGAAACAACCAGAACTTTTCACTGCAGCTGAAACCTGGTCAACGAGAAACAACCAGAACTTTTCACTGAAGTTGACACCTGGTCAACGAGAAACAACCAGAACTTTTCACTGAAGCTGACACCTGGTCAACGAGAAACAACCAGAACTTTCCACTGGGGTTGACACCTGGTCAACGAGAAACAACCAGAACTTTTCACTGGAGTTGACACCTGGTCAACGAGAAATAACCAGAACTTTCCACTGGAGTTGACATCTGGTCAACGAGAAACAACCAGAACTTTTCACTGGAGCTGAAACCTGGTCAACGAGAAGAAGATAAACTAAACATTGTTGATCAAACAATACAAAAAGACAGTTATAGACAACACAGTGAGACAGGCGTAAACTAGATAAGACAATAAAACAGCTGCAAACTAGACAATACAGTGAAAGTTACAATCTAGACAATGCAAGGAAACAGTTATAAATTAGAAATTGTTAAACCATCAACACTGTTGTTGAAAAAACAATTCAGTATTAAAATATGGTCATCAGGTATAAACCAATGCGGTCAGATAAACCAGACAATACAGTCAGTTATAAACCTAGCAACACGGTTAGTAATAAACTATACAACAGTCAGTTATAAACCTAACAACAGAGTTAGTTATAAACTTTGAAATACAGTCAGTTATAAACCTAACAACAAAGTTAGTTATAAACTTTAAAATACAGTCAGTTATAAACCTAACAATAGAGTTAGTTATAAACTTTAAAATACAGTCAGTTATAAACCTAACAACAGAGTTAGTTATAAACTTTAAAATACAGTCAGTTATAAACCTAACAATAGAGTTAGTTATAAACTTTAAAATACAGTCAGTTATAAACCTAACAACAGAGTTAGTTATAAACTTTAAAATACAGTCAGTTATAAACCTAACAAAAGAGTTAGTTATAAACCAGACAATAGAGTCAGTTATAAACCTAACAATACAGTTAGTAATAAACTATACAACAGTCAGTTATAAACCTAACAATAGAGTTAGTTATAAACTTTAAAATACAGTCAGTTATAAACCTTAACAACAGAGTTAGTTATAAACTTTAAAATACAGTCAGTTATAAACCTAACAATAGAGTTAGTTGTAAACCAGACAATAGAGTCAGTTATAAACCTAACAATACAGTTAGTAATAAACTATACAACAGTCAGTTATAAACCTAACAATAGAGTTAGTTATAAACCAGACAATAGAGTCAGTTATAAACCTAACAATACAGTTAGTAATAAACTATACAACAGTCAGTTATAAGCCTAACAATAGAGTTAGTTGTAAACCAGACAATACAGTCAGTTATAAACCTAACAACAGAGTTAGTTGTAAACCACACAATACAGTCAGTTATAAACCTAACAACAGAGTTAGTTGTAAACCAGACAATACAGTCAGTTATAAACCTAACAACAGAGTTAGTTATAAACTTTAAAATACAGTCAGTTATAAACATAACAATAGAGTTAGTTATAAACCAGACAATAGAGTCAGTTATAAACCTAACAACAGAGTTAGTTGTAAACCAGACAATACAGTCAGTTATAAACCTAACAACAGAGTTAGTGATAAACTTTAAAATACAGTCAGTTATAAACCTAACAACAGAGTTAGTTATAAACCAGACAATAGAGTCAGTTATAAACCTAACAATACAGTTAGTAATAAACTATACAACAGTCAGTTATAAACCTAACAATAGAGTTAGTTACAATAATCAGACAGAACTAGACAATACAGTCAGAGTTATAAACTAGACACTACAGTCAGATATTATAAACTAGACAATACAGTCAGAGTTATAGACTAGACATTACAGTCTGACATTTATAAACTAGACAATATAGTCAGACAATAATAAACGTATAAAAGTCGACGTTCACCACTTAAGGACACCTACTCAAAGGAGGCTCGGGTGGACGCTCAATCTGCGGCGATCGTGACTTAGACCGAACTTTAGACACAGTCCTTGGTTTGGACCTTGACCTGGATCTATGTCGTGACCTGGAGACTCTTCTGCTTCTTGAGTTGGACCTGGACCGTGATCCTCCCTGGCGACTTTGTGTTGTTGGGCTTCGGGTCTGTGACGGCCAATCATGGTCATATCTGTCTTTAATTCGCATCTCTTTCTCTCTCTCTTTTTCTCTCTCAAATTCTGTTTCTTTCTCCTTTTCTCTTTCAGCCTCTTTTTCTTTCTCCCTCTCTTTTTCTCTTTTTTTCTCCAGTTCTTTCTCTTTAAGCTCTTTTTCTTTTTCTAATTCCCTTTCTCTCTCTTTCTCTCTTTGTTCTTTTTCTTTTTGAATCTCTCTTTCCCTTTCACGTTCCTTCTGTAACTCTCTCTCCCGTTCTCTGTCTTTCAATTCTCGTTCTTTAATCTCTCGCTCAAGTATTTCTTGCTCTTTTGCTTCTGCTTCTTTCTTTTCTCTTTCCCTTTCTTCCATTCTCTCTTTTTCTTTTTCAGCTTCTTTCTCTTGCTCTCTGAGAGAGTCATCTCTGCTGCTGTCCCTGACTGGACTCTCTCCTAAAAGTTCTCTGGGTTCTCGGGACCCCTCTCTGGAGTAGGACACTCTGCTCTCTCTTCCATCACTGTCCCGTGAGTCATGGTGTCCCATCTTGTCTCTTCCATCACTGTCCCGTGAGTCATGGTGTCCCATCTTGTCTCTTCCATCACTGTCCCGGGAGTCACGATGCCCCATCCTCTCCCTTTCATCACCATCTTGTGAGTCATGATGTCCAGTTCTGCTCCTTCTAGCAGCATATTCTCGATCTCTGTCCTGCTCTCTGGACCTTGGGCGATCTTCATCTTGAACACTTCTTATGCTAAAATCACTATCGAGATCTCGAGACCTCGGACGAAAATCATCATTCTGGCCATCCTTGTCTCTGATATCATAAGGTTCTTTCGGTTCTGGTGGAAAATTGTAGCCTCGAGGTCTGTCATGTGACTCTTGATCCCTGTTGACTTCATATATGTCTCTGTCTCGGTTATCGTCAAATGTGTCTCTATCTCGGCCAGCATCAAATGTGTCTCTGTCTCGGTTATCATCAAATGTGTCTCGGCCAACATCAAATATTTCTCTATCCCTGCCTCTGTCATGGCTGGACCCATGTTCTCGGCTACAGCCCACGTCCCGATCTCTACTAGAAGCTCTGTCTCGGCTACAGCCGACGTCCCGATCTCTACTAGAAGCTCTGTCTCGGCTAGGGCCAAAATCTCTTTCCCTGCGAGGTGATGGTTTCCTCAGAACATCAACAAAAGAATCTTCAAGAGCAGCAGGTTTGTGTGGATCCCGGGACTGCACAGAGGAAGATGGTGATGATGATGGCAAAGACGAGTGAAGTTTCTGCACTTGTTCATTGATGTAGTCTAGCGGGTGTTGTTGCTGTATCACAGGCTTGGCAGTCTCCTCATCTCCAAGCTCTAGACCTGCAGACACATAGACAGACATGTGTCAACTTAGAAAACCTGAGACACATAGACAGACATGTGTCAACTTAGAAAACCTGCAGACACACAAACAAACAAATGTCATCTTAGAGAACAGGAGACACAGAAAGAGACAAGTGTGAGCTGAGAGAACAGGAGACACAGAAAGAGACAAGTGTGAGCTGAGAGAACTGGAGACACAGAAAGAGACAAGTGTGAGCTGAGAGAACAGGAGACACAGAAAGAGACAAGTGTGAGCTGAGAGAACAGGAGACACAGAAAGAGACAAGTGTGAGCTGAGAGAACTGGAGACACAGAAAGAGACAAGTGTGAGCTGAGAGAACTGGAGACACAGAAAGAGACAAGTGTGAGCTGAGAGAACAGGAGACACAGAAAGAGACAAGTGTGAGCTGAGAGAACTGGAGACACAGAAAGAGACAAGTGTGAGCTGAGAGAACTGGAGACACAGAAACAAGTATTAGCTGAGAGAACTGGAGACACACAAACAAGTATTAGCTGAGAGAACTGGAGACATAGACAGGTATTAGCTGAGAGAACAAAAGACACACAAACAGGCATTAGCTGAGAGAACTGGAGACACACAAACAAGTATTAGCTGAGAGAACTGGAGACACACAAACAAGTATTAGCTGAGAGAACTGGAAACATAGACAGGTATTAGCTGAGAGAACAAAAGACACACAAACAGGCATTAGCTGAGAGAACTGGAGACACACAAACAGGCATTAGCTGAGAGAACTGGAGACACACAAACAAGTATTAGCTGAGAGAACTGGAGACATAGACAGGTATTAGCTGAGAGAACAAAAGACACACAAACAGGCATTAGCTGAGAGAACTGGAGACACACAAACAGGCATTAGCTGAGAGAACTGGAAACATAGACAGGTATTAGCTGAGAGAACAAAAGACACACAAACAGGCATTAGCTAAGAGAACTGGAGACACACAAACAAGTATTAGCTGAGAGAACTGGAAACATAGACAGGTATTAGCTGAGAGAACAAAAGACACACAAACAGGCATTAGCTGAGAGAACTGGAGACACACAAACAGGCATTAGCTGAGAGAACTGGAGACACACAAACAAGTATTAGCTGAGAGAACTGGAGACATAGACAGGTATTAGCTGAGAGAACAAAAGACACACAAACAGGCATTAGCTGAGAGAACTGGAGACACACAAACAGGCATTAGCTGAGAGAACTGGAAACATAGGTATTAGCTGAGAGAACAAAAGACACACAAACAGGCATTAGCTGAGAGAACTGGATACACACAAACAGGCATTAGCTGAGAGAACTGGAGACACAAACAGACAGGTATTAGCTAAAACAACTGAACTGAAGACACACAAACAGGCAAATGTAAACTGAGAGAACTGGAGAAAGACAAATAGGCAAATAGCTGAAAGAAATGGAGACAAACAGGCAAATGTCAGCGGAGAGAAATGGAGACAAACAGACAAATGTCAGCTGAGAGAACTGGAGACAGACAAACAGACAAATGTCAGCTGAGAGAAATGGAGACAGACAAACAGACAAATGTCAGCTGGGAGAACTGGAGATGCACAGACAAATGTCAGCTGAGAGAACTAAAGACAGACAAAAAGACAAATGCCAGCTGAGAGAACTGGAGACAGAGAGTCAAGTGCCAGCTGAGAGAAGCGGAGATAGAGAGTCAAGTGCCAGCTGAGAGAAGCGGAGACAGAGAGTCAAGTGCCAGCTGAGAGAAGTGGAGATAGACAGAGAGTCAAGTGTCAGCTGAGAGAAGTGGAGACAGACAGAGAGTCAAGTGCCAGCTGAGAGAAGCGGAGATAGAGAGTCAAGTGCCAGCTGAGAGAAGCGGAGACAGAGAGTCAAGTGCCAGCTGAGAGAAGCGGAGACAGAGAGTCAAGTGCCAGCTGAGAGAAGTGGAGACAGAGAGTCAAGTGTCAGCTGAGAGAAGTGGAGACAGAGAGTCAAGTGTCAGCTGAGAGAAGTGGAGACAGAGAGTCAAGTGCCAGCTGAGAGAAGTGGAGACAGACAGAGAGTCAAGTGTCAGCTAAGAGAAGTGGAGACAGAGAGTCAAGTGTCAGCTGAGAGAAGCGGAGACAGAGAGTCAAGTGTCAGCTGAGAGAAGTGGAGACAGAGAGTCAAGTGCCAGCTGAGAGAAGTGGAGACAGAGAGTCAAGTGTCAGCTGAGAGAAGTGGAGACAGAGAGTCAAGTGTCAGCTGAGAGAAGCGGAGACAGAGAGTCAAGTGCCAGCTGAGAGAAGTGGAGACAGAGAGTCAAGTGTCAGCTGAGAGAAGTGGAGACAGAGAGTCAAGTGTCAGCTGAGAGAAGTGGAGACAGAGAGTCAAGTGCCAGCTGAGATAACTGGAGACAGAGAGAGAGTCAAGTGCCAGCTGAGAGAAGTGGAGACAGACAGAGAGTCAAGTGTCAGCTGAGATAACTGGAGACAGAGAGAGAGGCAAGTGTCAGCTGAGAGAATAAAACCAATAAATACAATGCGAAAATCCTCAAATCATTGGCTTGCATTCAAACATTGAAACACTGACAGTGTCTATGTGGTCATATATGAGTTACTGACAGTGTCTATGTGGTCATATATGAGTTACTGACAGTGTTAATGTGGTCATATATGAGTTACTGACAGTGTGTATGAGGTTATGTATGAGTTACTGACAGTGTCTATGTGGTCATATATGAGTTACTGACAGTGTCTATGTGGTCATATATGAGTTACTGACAGTGTCTATGTGGTCATATATGAGTTACTGACAGTGTTTATGTGGTCATATATGAGTTACTGACAGTGTCTATGTGGTCATATATGAGTTACTGACAGTGTCTATGAGGTTATGTATGAGTTACTGACAGTGTTTATATGGTCATATATGAGTTACTGACAGTGTCTATGTGGTCATATATGAGTTACTGACAGTGTCTATGTGGTCATATATGAGTTACTGACAGTGTCTATGAGGTTATGTGTGTTACTGACAGTGTTTATATGGTCATATATGCGTTACTACAGTGTCTATGAGGTTATGTGTGTTACTGACAGTGTTTATATGGTCATATATGCGTTACTACAGTGTCTATGAGGTTATGTATGAGTTACTGACAGTGTTTATGTGGTCATATATGAGTTACTGACAGTGTCTATGAGCTTATGTATGAGTTACTGACAGTGTCTATGTGTTCATATATGAGTTACTGATAGTGTCTATGAGGTTATGTATGAGTTACTGACAGTGTTTATGTGGTCATATATGAGTTACTGACAGTGTCTATGAAGTTATGTATGAGTTACTGACAGTGTTTATGTGGTCATATATGAGTTACTGATAGTGTCTATGAGGTTATATATGAGTTACTGACAGTGTCTATGTGGTCATATATGAGTTACTGACAGTGTCTATGTGGTCATAAATGAGTTACTGACAGTGTCTATGTGGTCATATATGAGTTACTGACAGTGTCTATGTGGTCATATATGAGTTACTGACAGTGTGTATGAGGTTATGTATGAGTTACTGACAGTGTTTATGTGGTCATATATGAGTTACTGACAGTGTCTATGAGGTTATGAATGAGTTACTGACAGTGTTTATGTGGTCATATATAAGTTACTGACAGTGTCTATGTGGTCATATATGAGTTACTGACAGTGTCTATGTGGTCATATATGAGTTACTGACAGTGTCTATGAGGTTATGTATGAGTTACTGACAGTGTCTATGTTTTCATATATGAGTTACTGACAGTGTCTATGTGGTCATATATGAGTTACTGACAGTGTCTATGTGGTCATATATGAGTTACTGACAGTGTCTATATGGTCATATATGAGTTACTGACATTGTCTATGAGGTTATGTATGAGTTACTGACAGTGTCTATGTGGTCATATATGAGTTACTGACAGTGTCTATGTGGTCATATATGAAACACTGAGTGTATCAATGATGAAGATCTATAAGCAACATATGCCTACCTGGTATCTTTGTTTTACCCTGTGTAGTCTGATAACCTGTGAGTGGTGGAGGTGGTGGAGGTGGAGAATCATGTGGAGGCATCACCACGGTAACACATCCATACACTGCCAGTGTCACAGCACGGTACCATCCTTTCAGTATCAGGCCATCAGTAGGCACCTGGATATAATTAACATATATCACAACAACCTCACATATATCACAACAACCTCACATACATCACAACAACCTCACATATATCACAACAACCTCACATATATCATATCAACCTCACAAATATCACAATAACCTCACAAATATCAGAGCAACCTCATATAAATCACATCAACCTCACATATATCACACCAACCTCATATATATCACACTAACCTATTCTCATCAGGCCGAATTTTATTGTCAAGATAGCATTTAAGAGGTCAAATTGCATCCTGTTTCTTAGGTTAGATTTGATATAATTCATAGCACTGATAACTATCTACATCAACATGTGAGTGGGGTAGTATCATGGCAGACATGGCTCATTCAAACAGCTTACAAAATGGACTGTTTGATGAGGCATCTTTAAACTGTCTCACTTCACTCCAAAACGCTTCAGTTTCTGTTTTGTTTGTCCTTTCCACAAAGTTTATTTTGATTAACCGATATTCTGCTTTCGCGACACTATATCAGTAGCTCCCAAAAATGTCATAACTTTACAATATTTAGGTATGTCCTTTACTGGCTGAAGTATGTTGCTCACAGAAAAGAGTGAAATATTTTTCAATACATCTAGATTTTAACACACAAACATCTTCTTCTTTCCTCTATTCCTGAAATGCTCGCAGCGTCAGGACAGGACGAGATCTTCGGAACAGGCTCCTATGTTCATTTCTTATTCAGTATTTTTCAGTATCTCTGATATTTGTGTGGTCCATCGATTTCTGGCTCTGTTACCAGTGTATCTGTACCACATGGCTTTCTGGCTCTGTTACCAGTGTATCTGTACCACATGGCTTTCTGGCTCTGTTACCAGTGTATCTGTACCACATGGCTTTCTGGCTCTGTTACCACTGCATCTGTACCACATGGCTTTCTGGCTCTGTTACCACTGTATCTGTACCACATGGCTTTCTGTGCTGCCCTGTCTGATGCCAATCTTGTTACATGACCAAATTATTTGATGTGCTGTCTACTGATAAAGTTCAATACAGGTTCTGTGCCGACTCTCCTGATATCATTCCTAAGCCAATCTTCCTTGTTACACATGGAACAGTACTAACATTTCATTTCTGTCATGTAAGTAAAAGTAAAGTGACCCTTTTCCACGCCTTAAGGCGTATACGGCATATAGGGCTAGACCTATATTTTTATAGACCAGTCGGCACAAGATGTGTGATGTGGTCAGCATCATGCCGGCCGCCTCTACTTTCCGGGACTGCACCCGGTACCCACTCATGGCTGGGTCGACCTGAGAGCCAATGTCATTTATGAAAAAAGTCCGGCTCCGCCAGGGAGCGAACCCATGACCTTCCGATCCCCGGCAAGCGGCTAACCGCTTTGCCACACAAACTCCCTTTCTGTCGTGACTATTTTCTTAATGTCTTCTGAAGACAATGTCTGACACTGATAGAATAGCAATAGTAAGAATACTGATTTGAACAGTATCTTGTTAGTGTTCATATTAATATTCACATGCTTGCATTTCAAAACTGGTGCCATCTGGCCTATACCTTGACTGGCTTTACTGCATCTTTGTTGGATTTCTTCATAAATTCTTCCGTTCTTCTGTAAGCAATGCTGCCCAGATATGAAAGGCCCTTTGCATGCTTTAACTGATGTTCATCAATTTTGATATTGGTGGTTCTTTCTTTTCTGGAGAAAGTCATCAATTATTTTATCTTCACTGATATACATATCATAGTCATCACATGCTGAGTGGAGTCCACATATCATAGTCATCACATGCTGAGTGGAGTCCACATATCATAGTCATCACACGCTGAGTGGAGTCCACATATCATAGTCATCACACGCTGAGTGGAGTCCACATATCATAGTCATCACACGCTGAGTGGAGTCCACATATCATAGTCATCACACGCTGAGTGGAGTCCACATATCATAGTCATCACACGCTGAGTGGAGTCCACATATCATAGTCATCACATGCTGAGTGGAGTCCACATATCATAGTCATCACACGCTGAGTGGAGTCCACATATCATAGTCATCACATGCTGAGTGGAGTCCACATATCATAGTCATCACACGCTGAGTGGAGTCCACATATCATAGTCATCACACGCTGAGTGGAGTCCACATATCATAGTCATCACACGCTGAGTGGAGTCCCACAAATCATAGTCATCACACGCTGAGTGGAGTCCACATATCATAGTCATCACACGCTGAGTGGAGTCCACATATCATAGTCATCACACGCTGAGTGGAGTCCACATATCATAGTCATCACACGCTGAGTGGAGTCCACATATCATAGTCATCACACGCTGAGTGGAGTCCACATATCATAGTCATCACATGCTGAGTGGAGTCCACATATCATAGTCATCACACGCTGAGTGGAGTCCACATATAGTCATCACATGCTGAGTGGAGTCCACATATCATAGTCATCACACGCTGAGTGGAGTCCACATATCATAGTCATCACACGCTGAGTGGAGTCCACATATCATAGTCATCACACGCTGAGTGGAGTCCACATATCATAGTCATCACACGCTGAGTGGAGTCCACATATCATAGTCATCACACGCTGAGTGGAATCCACATATCATAGTCATCACACGCTGAGTGGAGTCCACATATCATAGTCATCACATGCTGAGTGGAGTCCACATATCATAGTCATCACACGCTGAGTGGAGTCCACATATCATAGTCATCACACACTGAGTGGAGTCCACATATCATAGTCATCACACGCTGAGTGGAGTCCACATATCATAGTCATCACACGCTGAGTGGAGTCCACATATCATAGTCATCACACGCTGAGTGGAGTCCACATATCATAGTCATCACACGCTGAGTGGAGTCCACATATCATAGTCATCACACGCTGAGTGGAGTCCACATATCATAGTCATCACAAGCTGAGTGGAGTCTATTAATATGTTCATGTAGTTGTGCTGCTGTTGGTGCTATGCCTGGTCGTCAGCCAAAATCAGTTCATTTAGTAATTCTCCAATATTGTCCTCTTCGCTGATATTAGCTAATTTACACATTTGATGGACGTATGTCTAGTATCTAGCCTAGTATCTACACTTCTTCTCTTTACTGTATTGTTTACTCCCTCGTTCCACCAGGGTGTTGTTAATGGTCTTGTGCTTCTCTTCTTTACCATACATTTTTCTCTTGTTGTTTCTAAAATTGATCTTTAATACATTTCCCATTCCTTCTCTACTGATTTGATTTCACACATACAACATATAATAAAAAAAACATTAGACATACAATACAAATATCAAAGACATCAGACTCACAAACAAACATCACTCACATGACGATCAAGTTTTAGTTGAATGTTTTTGTTTTCCTTATAATCCAGCCTGAAAATAAACATGCATTTTGTATTAGCAATAATCTAGAACAACGTGTTACAATACACTAGAACAATGTTTTCATGCCACTGGCAAGACATCAACGAGCCTCTTCGAGATATGTCAGTTAACTGATTTTGTGTATTCGTAAGGTTTCGTCTGATTTATGTATAAAGGGGAAAGAAGCCAATAAGTAAGTCACATATGGTTACGGGATGGCAGAAAATGTAGTTGGTGGTTTCTAAAGGTGTCACTAGGTGACAGTAACACTGAACTTTATGTCTCTGTTTGTTAGGTGGTGCTAGGTGTTGCATGCACATTCCCAACACAGAAACAAAATGGCAACTGTACTTATGGAGTATACGCTCAAAGAACAATGTGCTGTTGTGTAGTTTTTTTTTTTGGGGTGGGGGTGGAGGGGAGGGCTGCCTGCAAAGGACATTCATAAGGAAATAGTTCCTGTTTATGCTGACAAATGTTTATCTCAAAAAGTGGTGCAATGCTGGGTACAAAAAATGTGTCAGGGATACTCTACAAAAAGTCTGATCTTGTCATTTGTTGAGACTACAACTGACGCATCCGTGCGGCGGGTGGTGAAGATGATTAGAGGTGACAGTTGACTCTGTAGCAACTGCAACAGGGTGCTCACATCATGGTTCAGCATACAACATAACAGTCCACTGAAAACTTACCTTGGTGGGAGACATTTCATTAAATGGTGCAGAAGTTGAATGTAAAGTGAAAATGTGGTTTAGGAAACTGAGCACGCAGTTCTATACAGCAGGTTTGGGAGGACTGATAAAACGATGGGACAAGTGCATCAATGTTGGTGGAAATTATGCTGAAAGATAAAGGGACAGAGAATGTGTAAAAATAAACGGTTTTCAAGTTGTTATTATCTTTATTTTTTTTAAACAACCATTTGTGACTTACTTATTGGCATCCCCTTGTATATGCTGATAAAGGCTTTGTAGCCACAACATTGATTTTTCATTTGCGTTTGTTACATTGTGAACCCCTCTGATCTACTTTTATTCGGCTTTATATCTTTACAATAAGAATGTGTTACAATCCACTAGAACTAGGTGTTACAATCCACTATAACTAGGTGTTACAGCACACCAGAACAATGTGTTAACAATAATCTAGAACAATGTGTTAATAATACACTAGAACAATGTGTTACACACACTAGAACAATGTGTGCACCAGACTAGAACAATGTGTACCAACAGACAAGAACAATGTGTGACAACACAATAAAACAATCTGTGACAATACACCAGAACAATGTGTGACAACACAATAAAACAATCTGTGACAATATGGTACTTATCAAAAGGTTGCGGTGTAAGTTCCTTCCCCTCCAATCCTTGTCGTGGCTGGTCACATGAGCTGTCCTTTGTTGTGGGGGTGTCATGTATTGTTTATTTTCAAAAGTTTAAAATCATTCACTTTTCTCCTGTTGTCACCGCTCACTTGAGTGATTTTTTCTACACTGTGTTACTTGCCCAAAGGTTTGTGAGAATCAAAACTAGGATGATTTGATATTTCTATGTTCCTTGTCAGTGGCTTCTTTTTTTCTTGGGGGGGGGGGGGGGGGGGGAAGGGGGGACCATCAATAAACGTAGAAATACACCCAAAAAATCCCAGTTTCGATACTCATGAAGAGTTGTACCTTCAGCGCTTCCTCATGCAACATTTCTGACTTCTACATAGGCATCTGCAGCTCTTCCAAGAGACTCGCGACAACACAACCTCCCACAAACAATATTTACGGCGAGCAAACACTGAAAGAAGCCATCTCATAACACCCTCACAACATAGGACAGGCCATGCAACCAGCCGTGGCAGGAATGGGAGGGGAAGGAACTCTCATCATGCGGGCAACTTCATTAAGAAGTTCCGACAATACTCTAGAACAATGTGTGACAATAGACTAGAATAATTTGTGACAACAGACTAGGACAATGTGTGACAACAGACTAGAGTAATGTGTGACAAAAGACCAGAACAATGTGTAGCAACATACTACAACAATGTGTGACAACACAGACTAGAACCATATATGACAATACACAACACCACTGTGTGACAAGAGGCTAGACAGATAATGTGTTAGAGAGAACAAAAAATCAGCTGATGTCAAACACAGAAACTAGGTTTATCATCTACTAGGGGATAAAAGGTAGAAGGGGATGTCAGATACACAAAGAAAGGTGATTAAACAAAACAAAGGTGTACAATCAAAAACAAACAAGTCAGAAACGAATCAAACACCATCTAGACAATGCAGGCAGAACTCACTGTCCAAGTTTCTCAAATGTTGAAGCGTTTGGCTTGTCCAAGTTGTTAGCAAACACTTCCAGCTTGAACTCAGCTGGCAAAGTGCCCCTGTGATTTAGTGCATTAAGGAGAAAGACATCAAAAACATATTTTTTTTTTTTTACATCTCACACAACATACAAGAAGTATTCATTTTAAATGTATTTATTACGAAAGCTTAAATGAAACAAACAGGTGTTGCTGAATAAAACAATGGATTCATCAGGAATGAATAATGCACCATAAGCTAGTCAAGAAACACTGCCCTAGGCATTTAGGCAAGCATTTTATTGCTTAGGCAGCGAATGTCATCAGCAAACAATGATTGTGATTGCTCCCTGAAGCAAGTGTTTACAGTTTTCCTTACATCTGTATCTGTTGCTCCCTGAAGCAAGTGTTTACAGTTTTCCTTACATCTGTATCTGTGGCTCCCTGTAACAAGTGTTTACAGTTTTCCTTACATCTGTATCTGTTGCTCCCTGTAACAAGTGTTTACAGTTTTCCTTACATCTGTTTGTGTCGCCCCTGAAACAAGTGTTTACAGTTTTCCTTACATCTGCATCTGTTGCTCCCTGAAACAAGTGTTTACAGTTTTCCTTACATCTGTATCTGTTGCTCCCTGAAACAATTGTTTACAGTTTTCCTTACATCTGCATCTGTTGCTCCCTGAAACAAGTGTTTACAGTTTTCCTTACATCTGTATCTGTTGCTCCCTGAAACAATTGTTTACAGTTTTCCTTACATCTGCATCTGTTGCTCCCTGAAACAAGTGTTTACAGTTTTCCTTACATCTGTATCTGTTGCTCCCTGAAACAAGTGTTTACAGTTTTCCTTACATCTGTATCTGTTGCTCCCTGAAACAAGTGTTTACAGTTTTCCTTACATCTGTATGTGTTGCCCCTGTAACAAGTGTTTACAGTTTTCCTTACATCTGTTTGTGTTGCCCCTGAAACAAGTGTTTACAGTTTTCCTTACATCTGTATCTGTTGCTCCCTGTAACAAGTGTTTACAGTTTTCCTTACATCTGTATCTGTTGCTCCCTGTAACAAGTGTTTACAGTTTTCCTTACATCTGTATCTGTTGCTCCCTGTAACAAGTGTTTACAGTTTTCCTTACATCTGTATCTGTTGCTCCCTGAAGCAAGTGTTTAGTTTTCCTTACATCTGTATCTGTTGCTCCCTGTAACAAGTGTTTACAGTTTTCCTTACATCTGTTTGTGTCGCCCCTGAAACAAGTGTTTACAGTTTTCCTTACATCTGTATCTGTTGCTCCCTGAAACAAGTGTTTACAGTTTTCCTTACATCTGTATCTGTTGCTCCCTGTAACAAGTGTTTACAGTTTTCCTTACATCTGTATGTGTTGCCCCTGAAACACGTGTTTACAGTTTTCCTTACATCTGTTTGTGTCGCCCCTGAAACAAGTGTTTACAGTTTTCCTTACATCTGTATCTGTTGCTCCCTGAAACAAGTGTTTACAGTTTTCCTTACATCTGTATCTGTTGCTCCCTGAAACAAGTGTTTACAGTTTTCCTTACATCTGTTTGTGTTGCCCCTGAAACAAGTGTTTACAGTTTTCCTTACATCTGTATCTGTTGCCCCTGAAAGCTTTCTTTAGAGGTCTCAAAATATAAAAATCACACGGTGACAAATCAGGGCTTTAAGCTGGATGTTGCAGAATTTCCCACTTCTTCTGTGCTGTGCTAAAGCTTCCTGCACAATCTATGCAAACTGCGGATGAGCATTATCATGCAACAAAATCTTGCAGGGCATTTATTCTTGATGGTTTTATGCAGCTGGTCCAGTGTTCCGGGGACTTTTCCATTGCATACTCTCTCTTCTGCTGCCTGGCACCATGATTCATTGCCTGCCACTATGTGAAGGAGAAATGTGTCAGATGCCAGTTCGGCAATATGATGATGCTGACGGACCATTGTGCGTGTATGAGATGATCCAGACATGAACTCAAGGTGAGACCTGACAGACTGACTAGAGAAAAGCCAGGAAGACTTAGCTGGACTCAGCTGTACACTTGACCGAATTCACGAGCAGCCCAAAGTGGGAGCGAACTCTGCAGAGTAACAAAAGGACTGCTCAAGGACAGACACAGGAGAATTGCTAGGGAGAATCTGTGGAGAGAATTTGTGCGACTTGACAACAGGGACATTGTGTAACCGACTGTTAGAATACAGCATGTTACTGATAAGTGTATTGACCTTTAACCTTGTGTTTAGATTAGGCTTTAGCTATAATTTGTATTGTACGATGTTTGACAAAGTTATCTAGTCTTGTAGCGTAGCGTTACTGCGTGAGTAGGAATTATTCACGTAAATTCTGTTAAAGCAGTTGTTGAAGACTGCAATGCATTAGTTGTGGCGTTAGCATCTGCACACACACACACACACTGGGCCATTCACTCTGTGTGTGTGTCTGAGAATCTTCATGTAGGGGACAGTGGCTTTCAACAGCGCTGTACAAGAATGATGTAGGTTCGAGTCCCGTGCTTATTCATGGGAATGGCTCAGGCGGGATCAGTGAGTGTAAAGCGGACACGGACTGCGTTTCAAAAAAGAGGCACCTGCGGTTCTTGATGCTTACTGCCATAAGTTTAATACTCTTTGTACAGTAAAGATTTTGTGTGTGCTCCACAGGTGTTCGGCTTGGTGTGTGTTTAAGCAGTTTTATCTGTTTTCGGCCTACAACGTGAGCCATAGTTGATACAATAAAACAGGCCGTTTACAAAATGCATCACCCTCTTCTCTGTAACAGAACAAGTGATTCAAACACCAACTCATGGGCTCTTCATTTTGTGGGTCAGTCAACATCTGTGGTACCCACTGTGAACACACCTTCTGATATTGCAGTTTCTTATAAACAACCTTTAAAACTGTCCCAAATGACTTGTGTTACAATATCTGTTAAAGCATGAATGGAGACTGGGTCAGGTTTTACTGAACAGCTAAGTTATTTGTATCATTATCCATTAATGTTGTAAGCTGATCAAGGCTTTCTAGCTGCAACATCCAAGACTGTATCTGATTGTTCTACTTTCTGTTAAGATTTTTTAAATTAATATTATACCAGTGCCCACTGACTCCACTGTCTGGTTTCCAAAACCTAGGTCTTCCTGAACCCCTAGACGTGGGACATCTAGAGCTTTGGGTTTATACGTTAAGAACACTCTTTTGGAGATTAACAAACTGAAATTCAAACCTCTCAGGCACTTGAACCTCATGCCTCAAGAAGTTCAGGCACTCACAAAATTAAAACCTCATGATAATATTGTTATTAAAGCTGCGGATAAGGAAGGGACGGTAGTGGTCTGGACAAAAGATTTACATGTACAGGAAGGGGACAGGCAACTCAGTGACACCTCGTTCTATGAACCCCAGACATAGGATGTTACAGTAAAAAACTACAAAAAAGTAAAAGGTACCATCACAACCTTTATCCAGTAAGATCTTCTGTTGCCCGGATCAGCTCTCTAGTTGTCGATGACAGTTGTCTGGGAAAGCCCGGATTCTCTATGCTTCCCAAGACTCAGGCAGACCGATTGTGTCCGCCGGCACTTGTCCCATCCTCGGCTATATTTTGCAGCTCCTAGTCATTGGTCTCCCCTCTTACATCAAAGACGCTAACCATGCTATCTCAATCTTTCAATCGATCCGGTTCATCTCTTCTTCCAGGTACATCTTCACCTAAGATGTTGCCTCCCTCTACACATCTATTCCACACTGAGTTTAAGGACGACTATTTTAACTCAATTAGCGGCGTCGTTATGGGCACCAAGATGGGACCTCTTCATGGGCTACCTCGAGCACTAGATATGTCATGCATTTCCCGGTAGGCTTCCTGAGCTCTACAGGAGGTATATCGATGATTGCATTGGTTTCACCGATATGCCCCTACAGGAACTGCACAACGTCACCCATTTCTTCTACCCTTCCATCCCAGAAATGATGGACTTCTTCCAGGTATCCTGAACATGTCTTATCTGCCGCTTTTCACTAAGCAAGGTCTATCCATCGTGCTAAGGCTCTTGTTTCCATGCCTAAAAGGCACCACAACAGACCTATCCTCATACTTACCTACCACCCTCTCAACATCCGTGCTCAAAATATTCTCTTTGAGCATCTCTCCATTCTTCGGGCTGACCCTGCTGCCAGCATGATTTTCTCTGAACTTTCTCGTGGCCTACAGACACGACTATAACCTCAAGAACATTTTAGTCAAGAGCTGGTGTCTCATTACAAGCAGAACACCCCTCTGCTCTTGCGCGTCTTTATCGTGTACATCCCTATGCAAATGAACTTATTTTAAATACGGACTCTTCTGCTATAAGTATACAGTCCTTGTTTGATAATATGGGTCAAGATGTCCGGAAAAGTACCCAGTTCAATCCAAATTCTATTGGGAGTGAACTATATTTGAATTCACTCATAGGTATGTGATTTCAAGGCGTAGTGAAGCCTAAGTGAAGTCAACCACAGACTACTTCAGCATGCTGCAGCTGTGTTAGCAGCTAGACTGGCCACCACATATCCACCACCTGCCAGAGTGCCTTAAGTCAAGAACTTTATGTTTACGCCTGCTCACACCAGGGTTGGCAGTAGAAGACAGGGGGCCTGAACTGTTCAGCAGGAATTGACTCAGACTGACAAAAAGAAGGATCTGCCCTGCTTCCCCACTTGAGATCAGTATCAGACCAGGAATTATGGCCAACCATTCAAACATTGCCTGGGCTTAGGTCCTTGTACATTTTCATCGCGATGATGACTCTATCAGTATTGGGGTCAGGCCTGTAGTCCGTTCTGACTGAACTGTAGTTTTCACTGATATATACATATATTGTGCTGTCTTTTTTATCCACTTTTTTTATATCCTACCTTTGTTGCAATTCAATACATCATGCAGTGTTTTTCTGAACATTACTTTACTGGTGTAAGGTATTTCACTGTTTTCTTTAGTTAGGTTGGTGTGAGTGTTTGGCTTATTCTCAGATTTCTGTGATTACTGTGTCATTTGACTATGATGGTGATTCTATCTAGTCTGGGGGGCTAACAAGTGGTGAGGAATGCTGGCCAAGTTGTGCTCAAGAATATTTAGTTGTTCTGTGGAGAACATACTTTGAGTTGCCTTATCCCTGAAGTGATGTTGGATAGTCGTTGGAGCTGCGGAGTACCTTTAAGACCAACATGGACCGCCCTTCTCAACATTAAATCACTTCAGATCGTCTTTGTTAATTAGGGAAACCCTAATAATAGACACGTGACAGTCGGTTACAGCCTGCGTCAGAGTCCTACTCCGGCACGGTCACCTGCTACAGACCTGTGTGCAGGACTTGTCGTTTTGTGGTTCAGTGGACTATTCTGGAATTCCCTTCCTTCGACGTACGTAAAGCATTTTACTGCATGAGTCCAATGTCATTTACGCCATCAACTGCAAGAGATGTGGCATGAAATACATCTTTTGGATGTGCAGAACAGTGCCCTGAAACCAGTACCATTGTACTTCAATTCCCAGGATCACCAAGGTGTCGACATGGAAGTGACAGCCAGCCATCAAATCTAGCCACTCCAGCAAGTCCGCAAGTCTCTTGAAAATCGCTTTATTTTCACTTTGGGCATTTTAACACCTAGAAGACTGAACTGCCCACACAATTGTATCTAAAACCCTCCAGTTATGGCCCCTGGAATTCACTGGGGGTATTTATTCTCCTGTCTCATGTGTCTCATCATTTTACTGACAAGACATCGACCTGGCTGCTTCGAGATACTAAGCTAAGTGATTTTGTGTATTTGTGTGGTATTGTTTGATTTATGTGTGTGCTGATGAAGGCTCCATAGCCACGACATTCAAGTTTTGTTTGCGTTTGTTATATTGTAAGGCTTGCTGATAGGACTTTTTGTTCGGTTTTATATCTTTTCAGGATTTGGGCAAGCCCCGCGGGTCAAGGTGGCCTTCACACAGACAGTGGAATGAGTCAATGCAAAACCCCACTGAGTGTGAAGCTACCTTCATCTTTATCCCAGGGCATGTGGGTGTCATGGCAATCAGAGAGCTGATAGTCCTGGTGCCTTAGTTGCAGATGGATGGCATAAGGAGCATTACATACACCTACTCCAGCCGACAGCCTCGGAGACGCACAGACCTACCTCAGCCGGCAGCCTGGGACCACACACACACCTACCCCAGCCTACAGCCTGGGAACCACACACACCTACCCCAGCCAACAGCCTCAGACACAGACACACCTCCCCGAGCCAACAGCCTTGGAGACACACACAGACCTACCCCAGCCAACAACCTCGGATACACACAGACCTACCCCAGCCAAAAGCCTAGGATACACACAGACCTACCTCAGGCAACAGCCTCGGATACACACAGACCTACCCCTGCCAACAGCCTCGGATACACACAGACCTACCCCTGCCAACAGCCTCGGATACACACAGACCTACCCCAGCCAACAGCCTCGGATACACACAGGCCTACCCAAGGCTACAGCCTGGGAACCACACAGGCCTACCCCAGCCGACAGCCTGGGAGCCACTCAGACCTACCCCAGCCTGGAAGCTACACACACAGACCTAACCCAGCCGACAGCCTCGGAGACACACAGACCTACCCCAGCCGACAACCTTTGCCAAGATTGGGCTCCACTTGTGTTTTGAGAGGGATGACCCTCAGCTCGTAGACCAACACTGGCTCTGAGAATTGGATGAGGTCAAGGTTCAGCTCCTGAAATGTACAAGAAAGAAATCCTCACACATGCTTTCCAGGTTGTCCGCTTATAGCAACAACACCTTGCACTCACGTGACCCACTGATACGGTACAATCACTCATCCGGTAAAGTACAATCACTCATCATGTTGAAAACAATAACTCATCAAGTTAAGTTCAATCAATCATCAGGATAAGTGCACTCAATCATCAGGTTAAGTACACTCACTCATCAGGTTAAGTACAACTACTCATAAGTTAAGAACAATCACTCATCAAGTTAAGTACAATCACTCATCAGGTTTAGTACAACCACTGATCTACTTAAGTAAAATCATTCATCAAGTTAAATACCATCACTCATCAAGTCAAATTCCATCACTCATCAAGTCAAATACAACCACTCTTCAGGTCAGATACAACCACTCATCAGGTCAAATACAACCACTCATCAGGTCAAATACAACCACTCATCAGGTCAAATACAACCACTCATCAGGTTAAATACAACCACTCATCAGGTTAAATACAACACCTCATCCGGTTAAATACAACACCTCATCAGGTTAAATACAACCAAACATCAGGTTAAATACAACCAAACATTAGGTTAAATACAACCACTCATCAGGTTAAATACAACCACTCCTCAGGTTAAATACAACCAATCATCAGGTTAAATACAATTGCTCATCAATTAAATACAATCGCTCATCAGGTTAAATACAACCAATCATCAGGTTAAATACAACCACTCATCAGGTTAAATACAACCACTCATCAGGTTGAATACAACCAATCATCAGGTTAAATACAACCACTCATCAGGTTAAATACAACCACTCATCAGGTTAAATACAACCAATCATCAGGTTAAATACAACCACTCCTCAGGTTAAATACAACCACTCATCAGGTTAAATACAACCACCCATCAGGTTAAATACAACCAATCATCAGGTTAAATACAACCACTCATCAGGTTAAATACAACCATTCATCAGGTTAAATACAACCACTCATCAGGTTAAATACAACCAATCATCAGGTTAAATACAACCACTCATCAGGTTAAATACAACCACTCATCAGGTTAAATACAACCAATCATCAGGTTAAATACAACCACTCCTCAGGTTAAATACAACCACTCATCAGGTTAAATACAATCGCTCATCAAGTTAAATACAACCAATCATCAGGTTAAATACAATTGCTCATCAAGTTAAGTGCACTCACTCATCAGGTTAAGTATACTCACATAATCAGGCTGAGTACACTCAGGCATCAAGTTAAGTGCAACCACTCATTAAGTTATCTGCTACTCTTAACTTTGCAGAATAAAATAAGGTTGTGTATTTCAAAAAATTCTTCTAACATAAGTCTCAAGATAATTACTTATCTGTGCAGCTTATTTCAGACTGAGGACCAGCTGGTTCCATTGTAAACATACATCACTTTACAACATCTCAGTTAAGATGGCCAAGAGGCACAATGTGGGATCTGAGTTAAATTTCTCACTATGGCATGGAAAAAAGTATACTGGACTTGAGCTAGAAATTCTTGGCCAAGAAGTGCCACTTATGTGACTATCTATACAGATGGCATTTTGCTGAGAGGCAGAAGAAGCACTTAGGGGTTCAAAGCAAATGTAAACAAGCGACCCTTAGTTCAAAAGTGCCCAACAAATAATACCAATATATCTAGTTTGGGAATGGAGGTGAAGGCAGTCACTGCAGCTTTTGGCTGGCTTGAGAACCAGCTCATACACATAATGTGATTGTGGCTGATTCACAAACTATGCTGAGAAAAGTGGAGGAAAGCATGCTCTGTGCAAAGTGGCAAACAACTCCCTTCAAAAGTCCCTAGCAGTTAGCGTCCTTTGGATCTTTTGTCCAGGACACAGAAGCATGTCAGGTAATGACCAGGCATCAGATTGGCTAGTCATACAGTGGTGGGTGAAGAAATGATGTTGTGGTCGAGCCCTTTGAGATCAAGTGAAGAATGTAAAATTGTGAACAGTCAAATAGGGTTTCCCTGAAAATAAGCCCTAACCTCCAAAATAAGCCCTAGTGTGATTTCTCAGAATGCTTTTAATATAAGCCCTACCACAACAATAAGCTGTAGCGGGATTTTCAAAGATGCTTTCAATATAAGACCTACCACACAAAAATCCCTAGTTCTTCATGTTCACCAGCTGTAAACTCTGGCAGAAAGTTCTGGTTGTTCATCCACTTTAGGACTGCAGACCTGTTCCAGAACCTGAGTGTTGCGTGTGCATCCGTTTTACAGATCTGACTAATTTGTAAGCAGACTGCTGGTTCCTTGCCTCTTAGGCAGATGAACTCCGACTAACTTCAAAGGAAGCTTCCAATTAATTGACTTTTACGACATGATTTTGGGAAGACAGTGGGTCTATTCTTGTTTTCCCCTATAAATAGGGCTCCGGAACCCACAAAGGGAATAATCCCTAGTTAAGATCATCAGCTAAAATAAGAAACTTGTTGCTGAATGGCCAATTGGAGTACAGACACCACGGTCATGACTTGTTGAACAATTCAAGGGATAAAATCTCTGACAGCTGTGTTGTTATCAATGCACACAAAGTAGGCTACATAGACAAGAAATGCTCAAATAAGGACAGCTTTACTGTTGGACATGGGAGACTGGGACAAATGGTTTGAGAGAAGTCGAAAGAAATTGGACAGAATTTTAGGACTTATGATTTGACGATGCTCCAGAAGATGATGACATCTGAATAAAAATTGCAGAATTGTCTACATTAATAAATGTAGATTTTTGTATCTGGGATAAAAAATGACATTTGCCCAGAAAAGCCCTAGTAAATTTTTTGAAGCAAAAATTAGTATAGAAATATAGAACCAGGTTTTATTTTGGGGGAAAACATGGTATATCAAGTCTAGAGAGAATGATGAATACAGTAGTAAGTGACCTGGGGATATGATACGCAGTGACACACACACATGCCATGGCCCTAAGACGGCAAGATTATTCAAGGACATACAATCAGCTGACATACAAACAGCTGAGAACTACCATCAGCATAAGTTCTACTGAGAAGTGGCTGCTGAAGATTAGAACAGAGTGCTTATGATGGTGATCCGAGTGCTGGAGTGTCAGTCCTAATCTCCTCCCACAAAATAAAATTAAGTAGCAAGTACTTGTAAATGAGAACTCGCCAGTTAACATAACTTCGTGTGCTTTTCTTTGTGAAGTCTACAAAAGTGTGTTCCCCAACAAAAGTTGTGTTCCTGTATAGTAAGGTAATGCACTTCCGGCCAAAATGGATGCTAGGCACGGGCGCTGTTTGGAGCCGAAGCAAATTTTTTGCTTCTTCAGACGGTGGCCGTTGCAATTTTGCGCCATTTGTAGACTGAAAGTATATAGTTTCGTTGCCCAGCTTCTGAGTTAATGCGTGGCGTGACACTGTTAGCTGCAGATTTCATTTGGAATGTTTTTTCGACCGTGACCAACATGGTGGTGTGACTTGTAGATTCAGAAAATGGCACGATGCCTGTTGTCACAATGTTGGTGGTGCCCTTATGTGATTAAAATCGATTGCGTGTACAACTGCCGATCTGATGGTGACTTCTGCTACCATCAATGATGTACTGCATTTCTAATGTAGGACTGTTTGTGTTAGCACTTCTGATGGCTACCGTATGCTTTTAATGCGTGTGTATGCTAGATATGCTGAGACAGTAGCGACTACAGTTTCGGCAATTTGCGGTCTTTTTGGCAATTTCCGTTACCATGGAAACCGTTTGAAACTTGTTTGGGAAATGTCGGCTGGGGTTTCGGGATGAGTCCTAATCTCTCATGAAATTTTGCGATTGGTGTGATTTTCACCAGTTATGAATACCTGAAAACGGTGGGAACGAACCCGATTAACAGCGCATGTCTACGACAGCCGGACGTCCTCTGTTTTTCTGTTACATCAGTTTGATTGAAAATAGCGCTAAGTATTCACGGTTGGCTTTAGGCCTTAAATATTACCAGACATGGTAATGCTAGTTATAATTGAATTCTCCGTCCAATTTTACATTTGTGTATAAAATTTTTCTTATCTGTGGCTATTTCGATTTACAGTGACATTTTTCATGCAATCGCTATTATGTGGCTGTGACTGAGAAAAATTGTCTGCCATCTTGTCCAATGAAAACAAAGCCAAAACGAAAGTGCGCAGTTTGGTTGCTCAGAGAAAACTTCTTGTTTCTGAGACGCAAGTTTTCAACAGTGACAACAGCTGTTTTTTACATCTCATCTCCACAAAAACCTACAGATCTCAGCTCAGAAATGACATACAAGCCTAAATGAGGTACCGTTGGAAAGAGATTGTTTACAGCTATCTAACTGTGCTGGTTTTATTGGTGTAGAGGGCATTTAAAAAATTTGACTAAAGTATCTAGAGACAGCAGTCTGTCAATCTTTCCACAAGGGACTGTGATAAACATTCTGTGTGTTTTTCGCTGGCACAGGGGCGGAGCAACGATGGGGTGACCCGTTTGCTATGAAGCTGAAACTAAGACTACCAGACTACCAGAAGGTAGTAATTGTGGTGACCAATGAAAACCACTTAAATCTTCCAAACTGACCAAATGTAGCGACTACGGTGTTCGGCAATTGGCGGTCTTTTGACAATTTCCGTTACCATGGAAACCGTTCGAAACTTGCTTCGCAAATGTCGGCTGGGGTTTCGGGATGGGTCCTAACCTCTCATGAAATTTTGCGGTTGGTGTGATTTTCACCCACTATAAAAAGCTGAAAACGGCGGAAAGGAACCCGATTAACAGTGCATGTCTACGACAGCCGGACGTCCTCTGTTATTCTGTTACATCAGTTTGATTGAAAATAGCGATAAGTATTCAGGGTTGGCTTAAGGCTTTAACTGTTACTGTACCTGGTAATGCTAGTTATAATTGAATTCTCCGTCCAATTTTACATTTGTGTATTGTATAAAATTTCTTTCTGGTATGTGGCTAGGTAGATGTACAGTGACATTTTTCAGGCAATCGCTGGCTCAGCCAGCATCATTGTCTGCCATCTTGTCCAATGCAAACAAAGCCAAAACGAAAGTTGCGCAGTTTGGTTGCGCAGAGAAAACTTCTTGTTTCTGGGACGCAAGTTTTAGTTTAGCAGCTGTTTTTTACATCTCATCTCCACAAAAACCTACATATCTCAGCTCAGAAATGACATACAAGCCTAAATGAGGTACCATTGGAAAGAGATTGTTTACAGCTATCTAACTGTGCTGGTTTTAATTACTTTTATTGGTGTAGAGGGCATTTTGAAAATTTGACTAAACTAAAGTATGCTACCAAATAATCATTATAATGGCCATCCAAAATAACAAGTAAGAAAACTCCCTATCAACCTCCGTTGTGGTAGAGAAAGTTGCCAAAAAATGCAAAATACAAATCTAAATGGGAGATTTTTCTCTAGACAGAAGAAAGAACTAACCTCCTTGTTCTGCTCGTGGTAGAACGTATCAAAAAACAAAAGATGCACCTCTTGTCCATCAGCCGCCATTTTTTTATATCAGTTGTGTCCCTTACTCTGGGTTCTATAAAACATAAACTGCGAACATTGGCGGCGCGATGCTGGAGAACAAAGTCAAGAAATAGAACAAACTGAACATTTCGACAGCGATTTGTTAATTTGATTTGATTCAAGAACCGACATCACAGCACTCAGGGCATTCCCGTAAGCGCTCCGTCCCCATTTTCAGCAGCCAGCGAAGAGTTCCTATACTAATGGTGCCAGTAGCATTCTGATTCAACGTCCATCTTGGCTTTCCTCTGAGCCTCGAGAATCAGCCAGAACCTCTCGCCACTTCCCGCTGTATCAATCTCAAAAGACTGTGGTGATCCATCTGCTCCTTCGAACTTTACACGCTCTCCAACAAAGCACTAACCACGTCTGCCTTATCATGTATCAGTATTCCACCAAGTTGTGCAGAGCCAGCCAGTCTGTCCGTCTGTTCATTTCCCAACACACCGGCAACCCCGGTGGAAAAAATCCAGACAATACTTCTCATCCGTGTCCTCAACAGCGAAGCATGCCACTCTGTACGAAGCATACCTGCTCTGGTCTTCCTCAGCATGCTTTCTGGATCAGTTACAATCACGATGTGTGTGTGCGTCGTGTTCTCTAGCCAGCGGAAAGCTGCAGTGACCGCCTCAACCTCTATTCTTAAGCTGGATGTTGTGGTATTATATGCTAGGCTCTCCTGCACCAAACGTCCATTAACTTTTTCTAAGAAGCCCCAAGCACTTGTTTTGCTTCTTGACACTGAACCGTCTGTGTAAATGATCAAATCCTCTGGGCGAGCATTATCTTGAATTAATTGCTGAATTTCCACCTCTGTGGCACCTGCACGAGGGAATGGGGAGAGAAGAAGGCATAGAAATAGGAAGGCAGGTGCTAGGAGAACAAGACGAACGCGATTTGTGAGGTCGTGAAATATATAGGTTAGTTGCGTATCCTTTACAGGACGTTGCAGAACCAACCCCAACGGCCCCTGGTTTTTGTGTAGTTTTTCCAGGCAAATTTATGTCCAGTAGTTTGCCATCGCTTTCTGGGCGTCGTCTTTCTTGATACCACTGTCGAAACCAAATCAAGGCGCATCAGCCTAAGCCTCAAATCCCACCGTCCTTTTTATGATGACTTTTTTGGGTTTTTTTAAGCCCTACTCTAGCTCATGCCAGGAGCCCAGCCAAAAATATGACCTAATGGCTGAACACGGTTTCTGGGACCTCTCCACGGTGATCCTCATCCACATTGTGGCACTTTGTGTCATCGGGTGTTTATCGCTTGTGTGATGTCCTTGTGAGGTAGTAAGTCAGTCAGTCACCCAGCTGGAATCGAACCCAGCATCCCGGCATTACGAAGCGTTCGCATCGAATTAGCCACAGAGCCGACTACTGAAATATATAAAATAAAAGAAATAATAAAGTCTTCCCCATGTGAGGAAAATCGGAATAGACCCACTGACCTCCCAATAAGCATGTCGTAAGAGCGGCTATTTGGGGATTTCCTTTCAAGTCGGCATGAAGCAAGTAACCAACAGTCCGCATACAAATCAGGCAGATCTGTAAAACGGACATGCACGCAACACTCGGGTTCTGGAACAAGAATAAAATCCCGAGATGGAGGAGCAACCAGAATTTTCCGCTGGAGTTTACACTCGGTGAAGGAGAAGAAGACAATGAAGTCTCCGGGGAATCGTCTGGGTTTCTGGAAAATAATGGTCCTGGAGAAATAATTTATCTCAAGATGCTGCCTGAAAAATATGTAGAGCACATACAAACATTGCTGCATGTTTTATAGATAATAGGAAGACATTTGACAGAATGTAACATTTAAAAGCTTATCTGATGCCTCTAATATACAGGAGAGGATGGAAAGTGTGACAGAATGTAACATTTAAAACGCTCATCTGATGCCTCTAATATACAGGAGAGGATGGAAAGTGTGACAGAATGTAACATTTAAAACTCATCAGATGCCTCTAATATACAGGAGAGGATGGAAAGTGTGACAGAATGTAACATGTAAAACTCATCTGATGCCTCTAATATACAGGAGAGGATGGAAAGTGTGACAGAATGTAACATTAAAAGCTCATCTGATGCCTCTAATATACAGGAGAGGATGGAAAGTGTGACAGAATGTAACATTTAAAAGCTCATCTGATGCCTCTAATATACAGGAGAGGATGGAAAGTGTGACAGAATGTAACATTTAAAAACTCATCAGATGCCTCTAATATACAGGAGAGGATGGAAAGTGTGACAGAATGTAACATTTAAAAACTCATCAGATGCCTCTAATATACAGGAGAGGATGGAAAGTGTGACAGAATGTAACATTAAAAGCTCATCTGATGCCTCTAATATACAGGAGAGGATGGAAAGTGTGACAGAATGTAACATGTAAAAACTCATCTGATGCCTCTAATATACAGGAGAGGATGGAAAGTGTGACAGAATGTAACATTTAAAAGCTCATCTGATGCCTCTAATATACAGGAGAGGATGGAAAGTGTGACAGAATGTAACATTTAAAAGCTCATCTGATGCCTCTAATATACAGGAGAGGATGGAAAGTGTGACAGAATCTATACTGGAAACAACTACTAACAGTGTGACACAACAATGTCTAGCCACGGAAAGAGATAGCTAGAGCAGGTTGTCAGGGGATGTGTGTTATCCCCAAGCTTTTTCATATTATTTACAGAAAACATATTTAAACAAGTTTGGGAATTGTCTGCAATGAATATTAATAGAAGAATAATAAGTAACAGACATGTCACGTTCAGATAACACATATATGCCACGTCCAGATAACACATACACGTCATGTTCATTTAACATAGATATGTCACGTTTAGATAACGCAGACATGTCATGTTCATATAACACAGATATGTCACGTTCAGATAACACATACATGTCATGTTCATATAACACAGATATGTCACGTTCAGATAACACATACATGTCATGTTCAGATAACACAGATATGTCACGTTCAGATAACACAGACATGTCATGTTCAGATAACACAGACATGTCGCGTTCAGATAACACAGACATGCCACGTTCCGATAACACAGACGTGTCACGTTTAGATAACACAGGAGTGTCAGGTTCAGATAACATCAACATGTGGCGTTCAGATAACACAGACTTGACACGTCAGATAACACAGGCACGTCATGTTCAGATAACACAGGCATGTCACGTTCGGATAACACAGACATGTCACGTTCATATAACACAGACATGTTGCGTTCAGATAACACAGATATGTCGCGTTCAGATAACACAGACATGACACGTTCAGATAACACAGACATGTCACGTTCAGATAACACAGACATGTCACGTTCAGATAACACAGACATGTCACGTTCATATAACACAGACATGTCACGTTCAGATAACACAGATACGTCGCGTTCAGATAACACAGACATGACACGTTCAGATAACACAGGCATGTCACGTTCAGATAACACAGACATGCCACGTTCAGATAACACAGGCATGTCACGTTTAGATAACACAGGAGTGTCGCGTTCAGATAACACAGACATGTCGCATTCAGATAACATCAACATGTCGCGTTCAGATAACACAGACATGACACTTCAGATAACACAGACATGTCCCGTTTAGATAACACAGTAGTGTCACGTTCAGATACACACAGACATGTCGCGTTCAGATAACACAGGCATGCCACGTTCAAATAACACAGATATGTCATGTTCATATAACACAGATATGTCACGTTCAGATACATACATGTCATGTTCAGATAACACAGATATGTCACGTTCAGATAACACATACATGTCATGTTCAGATAACACAGATATGTCACGTTCAGATAACACAGACATGTCACGTTCATTTAACACAGACATGTCACGTTCAGATAACACAGATATGTCGCGTTCAGATAACACAGACATGACATGTTCGGATAACACAGACATGTCACGTTCAGATAACACAGACATGCCACGTTCAGATAACACAGGCATGTCACGTTTAGATAACACAGGAGTGTCGCGTTCAGATAACACAGACATGTCGCGTTCAGATAACACAGACATGACACTTCAGATAACACAGACATGTTCCGTTTAGATAACACAGTAGTGTCACGTTCAGATACATACAGACATGCCACGTTCAGATAACACAGACATGTCGCGTTCAGATAACACAGATATGCCGCGTTCAGATAACACAGGCATGTCACTTTTAGATAACACAGGAGTGTCACGTTCAGACAACACAGACATGTCATGTTCAGATAACACAGACATGTCACGTTCAGATAACACAGACATGTCATGTTCAGATAACATCAACATGTCGCGTTCAGATAACATAGGCATGACACTTTAGATAACACAGACATGCCACGTTCATATAACACAGACATGTATCGTTCAGATAACACAGACATGCCCCGTTCAGATAACACAGACATGTCACGTTTAGATAACACAGGGGTGTCACGTTCAGATAACACAGACACATCGCGTTCAGATAGCACAGACATGCCACGTTCAGATAGAACATGTGTGTCACGTTTAGATAACACAGAAGTGTCACGTTCAGATAACATCAACATGTTGCGTTGAGATAACACAGACATGACACTTTAGATAACACAGGCATGTCATGTTCAGATAACACATGCATGTCATGTTTAGATAACACAGTAATGTCACGTTCAGATAACACAGACATGCCGCGTTCAGATAACACAGACATGCCGCGTTCAGATAACACAGGCATGTCACGTTTAGATAACACATGAGTGTCACGTTCAGATAACACAGACATTTCATGTTCAGATAACACAGACATGTCACGTTCAGATAACACAGTAGTGTCACGTTCAGAAAACATCAACATGTCGCGTTCAGATAACACAGACATGCCACGTTCAGATAATATAGGCATGTCAAGTTTAGATAACACAGACATGCATCGTTCAGATAACAC